CACACACACACAACCCGACCCCTCCTCATATCGTAGGTCACTACTGTGTCTTCGTCGGACATAGACGTGGTATCATAAGTCATACTGGTCATGTTTTACCGCTCTTTACCCTGTAACGGAACGTCCCGACCCTTGTGGTCTATGTCAGGACAGCAAACAGACAGACTTAGTGGGAGACGGTCCGCCCAATAAATGACCTGACAACACAAACCCCGAAGCAATCGTACATGCAGTGCGCTCCGTCATCGTTTTTGTGTTTGTTGTGTTTGTGTGCGTCTCCATATAGGTGTATGACATGGTGTCATTTGGCTTTATGCTGGTGCGAATACACTCGAACCGAGGTATTTTTTTTTTTTATTTTGGGAACTAAACTTTTGGTCTGTCTGTTGTTGCCTCCTCATAGATATAGGTAACCTGGGACTTAGTATAACACACGCACACACACACACACACACACACACACACACACACACACGCACGCACGCACGCACGCACGCACGCACGCACGCACGCACGCACGCACGCACGCACGCACGCACGCACGCACGCACACACACACACACAGTTTACCTATGCAGGCAGATTGACCATATTCAGCATGGGGCTGCGAGTGCTGACCTCCCACCCCAAAAAAAAAACAGGAAAGCTCCTATAAAGAGGGCCTTTCAAAAGGCTGGCTGTGCCACAGGATGCCTAATAAAAGCACTGTAAACAGACAGGGAACACATGGCGCTGGACTCTCTCCTTGCTGAGCTGCAGCAACACTTCATGGGAATCCCATCCTGCACTAATGTAAGGCCTCTTTCTCCATTGCCAGTTAAACAGATATAGTCTCACTCTTTGTGGAACTTCCTCTGTTTCTATCTGTTGTATGGATTCAGACTGACTTCTAAGTATCTCAACATTTATTGGACAAACTGCCACGAAAAATGATCACCTGACTTGTATTCTTATAACATAGCATTTCAGAAAGTTATGGTTTTAACTTTTAAGTGAAATATCTCAAAAGCGTTTGGATGGATTGCCTTGAAATTTGGTTTAAATGTTCATGTTCCCCTCAGGATGAATTGTCATAACTGAGGTGACCTCATTGTTTTTCCATATAGCACATACAAAGCTCAAGTGAGCCACAAAGGGAAGGAACATACAAAAAGATATCATGGTCACTGACATGGTAAACATTATACCTGCTGAACATCATGAACAGCGTTTTAGCGGTATTACTGTAAGCATGTTAGCATGTTAGCATGGCAATGCACAGCCTAGCTGTCATCTACAGCTTTTTTGTCATTTAATAAAGACAGACTCAACATGTTTTAGCACTTCTTTTACCATTTTAATAACACACACACATTACAAACTAGCTTTTCAGTCGATCCTGACACAGAATCATCTAAATGCATCACATGACTGCAAATTATTGACACTTTACATCCATGGATTCATGTGCGTGTGTCTTTTTATGTGTTCCTAATTATTGCCTACTGTCAGTCTGTGTCTGAGAGGCGTTTAAAGTCCCTGTGAACCATAGATTTATAAGAAGGTCTTTGTCTGGCTCTAATTAGAGCTACTTAAGCCCCCTCAGCACCTCCCACCTGTCTGCAGCTCCTCAACACCAGGCCACACTTCTTATGAACCAACCTGGAATAAACTTTAATTAGGCTTAGAAATCTAAAGACAGATCTGTGTGAACATGTTCATATGAGTGAGTGAAACTATTTGTATATGACCCATAAGTGGCTTTTCTCAAAATATGCACCATATTTACCTTCAGGGTCCCGAAGAATTTGCTTTGCTAAGACTTACAAATATTTAAAGCTGCACTTAAACTTGTCCTTGGTAAAGCCCCTCAGTCCTCAGCAGTGTGTCACCTCACACTGATTTACTGATCCTCAGATCTTAGTCGACCAAGGCAAACCAGCTATTGAGCTTCATGTGGGATTGTAAGTGGAAGTGGTTGGTTTGCAATGTGCAAACAATGAAAACAAGCCAGTTGAATAAATAACAATTAGTAAAGACCCTTGTTTTTTTTCATGCCACTTGAACCAGTGTCATTGTGATTAACGCACACACAGAAGTGAATACGCCCCTGCAGCACAGACATATGTGGCTGTGTTTATGAGCCTATATAAAGAGTGAGTCAGATTATGGACCTCCTGTAAACAGAAGCATTAATCAAGTTTAATTACAAAACTGATAGCCTCATATACACTTACACACTTGCAAAATTCACACTCACAAACATGTCTGTCCTCTTGGCCAGATAAAAGAGTGTGGTTTCAATTAGTGGAAAATAATCCACTTGTTCATCACTGAAATAAATGAACTCTGGATATTTGCTGCAGGTTGTTCGGAGCTGCAGACTCACAGCGGGTGTTGCTGCATTATCCTCCTGAGACCCAGAAAGAAAAAGGTTTCAAATTTCCTTTTTTTTTTATCACACAAGTCTTTAGGGTGGTATTCGGGTGGTATCCATAATGACTAACACAAACTAAAAACAAATATTTTTATTTTTGTTTTATTGTGTGTCCTTTGTAGAGGACATTGGGTGGTAGTTATGTGAAGCATAGTATACAAACAACATTAACATACAAGTACATTTAGACAACATTAGAGCACAACAACAAATGCAACAAATATTGAGCCCTCATTGGTAGTACTCCATCCTTTTTCGAAATGCAGAGATACATCTGACACTTGAGGCACTTGATGTATGTTTTCCCACTGCGTCCGTCTGCCATGAACCTTACAGAAACCTACGTGTTAGTTTGGCCCATAGTGGACTCCATTTGTGTTTGTAAAATGGGGGAAATAAAAAGTTAGCAAATCCCCATGTCCTCCTCAGATGACATTCATAACATTTAGTTATGAAATAAGTATTACACTGCTCTGAAAACTCACTACACTGTCTCCTAAGATGTTCCCTTACTATAATTAATTAAAATGTTGAACTCACAACACTGGTAATTACAAAATTACAAACTTACCATTTCTCTTTCTATAAATAGTGCTTGTGTTGATGGACGCCATTTTGAAATACAATGAAATTATCTTTTATAAAAGCCACACCCCCACATATATGTCACATGTCTGAAAAGCCCAGGATGTCCTCTGTGAAGAACAATTGGACCTAATGCTGTGGCATGTGTAACCTCAAAATAATGGACCAAAACCCAATGTGCTCCACAGAGGACACAAATGAATGGGTGGGTCTCTGGAGGATGGAATAATCATAAACATCATATGTTCGTATGAAAAACTAAAGGAAGGAATCGGTTAGGGAGAGCAAGTGACAGGGGGAATTTCCAAAGTATGGATATCTCCATGAATCACCTGAAGATGTATCTGCCCCTTATAAAGGTTTATAATTGTTGGATAAGTGATAAATGTTAAGATTAGGGTTAGTTTGTTTATATAGCACAATTCAGACACAAAGGCAATTCAAAGTGCAAGCATTTACACACAAGACAAATGAATAGGGAATGGATGATTTTAATGTTTAGTCTCAAACATTTTTTTTAGGTTTTTTTTCTACTTTATCTGAAAATGTAGCATATTTAAAACAACATGGCTTTCATACATTTAAAATAAATTCTTATAGGAACAGGTGCATACAAAAGACAGGAATAAACATAGAAAAACACATTAAAATATAGAATACAAAAAGATAAGTAGTAAATAAGTAAATACAACAAAGGAAGTCACACATACAGTAGGTACACAGCACTGCACACACAGTGACATGTTGTCTCTGCATTTCACCTATTTCATTATTAATACATGTATTTCATTATCTATGCATTTATATGTATAAAACACTAATGTTGCAGGTGGAAAGCTGGAGCAAACCTTCCATTTAGCTTATTCCATCAAATTCCATCAACTTAAGTCAGCTGGAATTTGCTAAGGAAAAATCTTTTTTTGCACAACCCTTTTTAAACTCGTATTACTGGAATTGTGCATGATGACACACAGAGCACCATTGAGCCCCACCAAGCACCACCCATGAACCTTGACCTCTGATCCCAAACATGTGAGTGTGAGACGCCGTCGCCAAGGGAACCACTGTCAGTACAGAAGCCCTCAGCTAGGAGTCCCGTGAAAAAGGCAACACAAGCTCTTTCTAGTGTGGGTGGTGACGGCGGTGGTAGGAGGGTGTGAGAGGAAACGTGAGGCGGGCGCTCTCTATCTGAAGCCTGTAGGATCCGTCTGGAGCCGGCTGCGTCAAAAGGGTCTTTGTCCGAGTCGCCCATCTTTCCTCATGCTACCTGTTCAACTACTTCATGTCTATGTCACTAGATGAAATCTCACCGCCTTGCTTCACCTGCACGTAAAGATAATTTAACTCCTACATGGACGTATAGAAACGGAAACTTTGACTGTTACAGTTAATAATCGAAAAATTCAGGTGATTTCTAAAACGTTTCCAAAAAGGTTTTGGTAGGATACATTTCCAATGATGACCATAAAGAAACCTGACAATTACGACTTTATTAGAAATACTAAAGCTCCAGGACTGTCCAAATCTAAAATTCACAAAAAAAAGGGATACATCTCGATGAATATCTGTATTCAATGTTTTGACAATCCTAAATAATAAAATAATAGTTAACATAACCTGTCACTCTGCATACGATGAAAACTAAGATAACACATTTAAAGAGGCCCTGGGGTTTTCCCTTTGCTGTAGTGTGTTATACAGGTTGCTGTGCATGTAAATGGTCTGCAAAGGCTCAAATCCTTGTGTTCCCTCCAGAGGGAGTTTCTCTCCCACACACTCCCTCCCTGCCTGAAACGCTTCCTTTGGACTCCTTTGTTTACTTCCTTAACAAAGTGACATCACTATATAACACGCTTCTATCGGCTAGCGCTCCAACACATTGTACGTAATGGCTAAGGGGCGGGACATCTCTAAGCGGTTGACTAATGACAGTGCCAGCCAACTAACCAATCAGAGCAGACTGGGCTCTGGTTACAGACAGAGGGTGAAAAGAGGTGCTGCAGCACAGGCAGTATGAAAACAATAAAGAGCTTTTTGAACATCCTCTCTCCTTATAAATTGACAAGTAATTTCAACGTTCTCGAAACGGTAACGACTCACTTTTTCACCGCGTGTCCCAAACGTCCGGTTCGTTTATGTCAATGTCATTTGAAGAATTTTGTCTCTCGCTCTTCTCGTCTACTTACTTCGATGACCAGCTTTTAGGTCAGTATGTTGATAACCGGGTTGTATAATTTCGATTATGTAGTACGTACTGGTCTAATTTTTTTTTTCCTTCTACATGTCATCAGGTTTCCATATGAACATCCGTAAATTTTTGTTATTTCATTATAAAGTATTACCTTTACTGTTCCACTTTTATTGACTCACCCTTTGTGTTCTTATCTGCAATACGGTTTGTAAAGTTTAGCATAATTTTTTACCACGTCGCTCCCTTACTACCATGTACCGACACCAAAATTGCGGACTATTTCCGTCTAGATATCAACAAGATCAAAGGATATGCACCGTAGACCCTAAAATTTATTGATAATCAGTCTACTTCGCCTTCGTCGTTCACAGAAATCTCCTTCGGACCATTTGTCTTTGGTGTTCTTTCTTATTTGGTCTTTGATTTTCTTTTTACGGTCCAATTTCCCCAGGAAAATAAGGTTAAGGTCCAAGCCTATAAGTCACATCACAGATGAGGCCCTGTACAGTAG